CGGATTAGCCAGCTTTGGCCTTTCTCCTGATATACACCATGCTCTTGCAATGGATTACACCAGTGCATACAAAAAAATATGTTTGGCGTATTTTGGATTGCGAGCATGCCAAAGTCCAAATGGACTTAAGATTTTCAAACACTTATGACCTCACATACTCGAACCGGTGTGAGATTTTAAAATTGTGATTGCTCAGGCGTTAAAACGAAGCATAAGATTACTCTAGATTCTTTTCTCTGCCTTGGAGATCGATGACTTAAAATAACTACTGTACTTGAAAATAAACGAACAAAAAAGTCATAGGAGAAACAACAAAGGAAATTACATATTTGAGTAAAATAAATGAATATAAACTTAAGCAGTGTAGACAAAGGCTCTAGTATGCTACTTGTGTGGACTGAGGGATCTCTTCTCTGTTGCTTGTGCCTTTGTACTTATAGGCGATGACTTCTAACCGTTGGAGCCATTTTTTCTGGCAACTAAACTAACATCCATGGTCTTTCTCTTCAACGACTAACAACATGTATCAAAACCATCTACAGCTTCATGATGTCACGTCTGTCATGCCTCTTCGTATCTCGAGATCCTTGAGATAATTACTCATAACCACCTTACCTCACTTGTACCTTCTTTGACTCAATTCTGGCTGTTGGATCGTTCCGATTGTCATTCTCAGATTTCTTAATAATTGGTTGTAAATAGGTTCTTATCTTGGTACAAACAACCATTGACGTCCAATCTATAAGATATAACGAACAAAACAAGATTTCTTGATGTATGCTCGACGAAGTAATCCAAGGAACTTAGATAAATCATCGACTGTTTGTTAAGATTGAACACTCGAAGAGATTTTTCCTAAGAAATTAAAATATTGATAAGTAATACGGGTATAATATGATAAAAATACAATAAAAGGGAGAAACCTAAACATATAAGATATAGACAAAGACATGATACGTCTATAATAAAATAACTTTTATATTTTTAATACTATATGATGATTTGATAATGATAAGAGTCTCTAACAAAAATTAGAAAAATAAATAGAAGCATATATCATCTCATCAAAAGGAATGTGACTATTTCAAGAAATCATAATTAGCATCTAGCTGGTAGATTTGTTTAGAAATACTTATTTCCAGGAGACAGGTTGTAAGCCCATCAAGCAAGATGAACGGAAGAACTTTGTCGGTGAAATGAATGTTCAAACCATGTGAATGCCTGTTATAGACAAAATCTCACCATTCGAAAAAGTCAGGAAGTCACGACCATTCATACGTAGAAGTTGATCATTTATTCCAAAAATCATAACTCATGAGTAAGGTTGTGTTCTTTAGTTTCGTAATCATTATGGTTTGCATTTTTGAACTCAATCTCAACCCAACAAAGCTATATACCAAATATTTGTGATCAACTACAAGAATCCTACTTCTTTACTTTGCTCTATCAAGGACTATTTTCTTATAAACTGTCATCTATATATATTTTTTTATCATTATTTCATTCAAAATTAATTTTGGCATATTTCTACTTCTTACATTACACTTGATGATACTTAGAGCAATTCTCAAGTATGAGCTCGAGAGCGGAGGTCAGACGCACAGAGCTCATAAAACCAGAGTAAAGCTCAGCCTAATCGAAGCAGCAGCAAAAGTAATAAAGAGATAGTTATTTGTCAACAGAAACCCTAGAGGCAGCAAAGAGTCATAATCGAAGCATAAAACTCTCATTTAGGAAAGATCTCCTCCTAATATCAAGGAGGATTCCTCGGATAAATGGCTAAGATCTCGGGGCGGATCCCGCAGAATTAGGAAAAACCCTATAAATACTATGTAACACCCCCAACAGAGGAGTAGAACCCTAGTATCACATCTTACATTCTGTAAACCTTTTTGGTATAGTAAATAGTGAAGGAAAGAACAAAAATCTCCATTGAAGAGTGGATTAGCCGAGCTTCCGAACTGGTGAACCACTATATTTTTATTGTGTTAATTCCCCAACTCTCCAACAATTCTCAGTATCATTCATTCGAGTTTAGTAGCTCAGATCTCAATAATTCCAATATTGTTTCTTTCATCAACTCGTCATCACAAAATTGCTTCACGTTGAAATACATCATCAACACTCAGACATATATTCGGTCACTCTATTTACTAGCCACAACTTAGTTTTATCCTTGAGTCAAAAGGGGAAAAACTTTAGTTGGGTTATCTCACTGTAACGTCCCAATTCCACATTCAAAAAGATTAATTATCTATAATTCATCCAAACCATAAAGCATATTAAAATATCATAAAATAAATCAATGTAAATCATCCACATCATCTAATCTTAAAAAAAAAAAAATCCCATATAGAGAATAAAAACTCCTTAGATTACATCAAAAACCAAAATAGTAATCTTTCAATCAACCACAAATCAGAAGTTTAAACTAAAAAATATATATAGGGATCCACTTCTGGATCCATTTCATGATCTATCTCAACATCTCAATCAACTTGCTCACCTAACTTTATGTCTTCCTCAAAGCCAATCTCTAAAAATTTTGTATATATCGTAGGATGAGCAAGAAACTCAGTAGAAAAATCTTCTCAAACTCAAACAAGATTTAGAAATAATAAAAATAGACAAGTCTCAATTACAAAATAACATATATAATTTGAGATAAAACATTGACATTAAATAACGATCTCAAGTTTATGGTACAAAACAGTATATTTAATAGAAAGATAAAACCATTCACAAACCATAACTTATAAAATCATAATATCTCATGTATGCAGGTTAATTAGCATGAAACTACATACTGAATATATCTGGTCTACACTATACCACAAACTCAAATCATCCAATTAATCTCTGCAAGGCCACAATACTTTAGAAAGTGAGTATACCGACACATCAACATTGATGAAACCTTCCAAAGATAAGTACACTAACTGTCAACCTCAATCACCGTGAACGTATAATGCGACCTTGAATCTCGCAATAAATCAAGCAATTTCACTACGAGTTATAGAAAACCTTCAACCCCCTCTAGGTAAGAAAAAAATATCTAAACACTCTACGATATAGGTTCAAATAAAATTCACGATATCACACCCACTCATACAAGAAATAATTTCATACTTTAAAAAAATTCATCTTTTCACAATTCTACAAGTTTCCAAATACAAGAGTATCAATCAAAGCATGTAAGAGATCGTAAAAAAAAACATTCATGTTCACAATATTCAAGATCTATGATTTTTAAATTAAGAACGAATAAAGTTTGAAAGCAAATCATGTATTTTATTCAAGAAATGATTCATATGTTCAAAGGAACATAAAAATATTGTAGAACTATTATTTATATCATAATAAAGACGAAAACAATATAAATATATAACCCTAATCTCAATGAATGAGTTTGAAAAAGAACTTCCACCTTAATCCGCAATTTAGTGAAACAATAGCATGTTTGTTGTGTTTTTCACATGTTAATCCTTCACGATCTTGTCCTTTTTCTTCTCTCTTACCTCTCCTGGGTCCCAGGGTTCAAAGTTGCTGAAAATTGACCCAAGGAACATCCTTAGGATATTGATAGGGTCAAAAACTATTCAGTTGGCATAAGTCTGATCGTTGCCTAATGCGCACTCATGTTCGAACAGAAGTGGCATTCGAATGTGATTCACTCACAATATCTCCTATTCTATCAGGCCTACACTTCCGTGACTGATCCAAGTTCAAACGTAAATTCACATTGGAATGTACTCCTTTTCTGACTGAACTTCCGAGGCAGTTTATGTATTCTTAATTCATTCTACAACGCAATACATTATAATTTAGTATAATTCAAATAATTACATTGGTGTTTACAAACCACCCGCTAAATGAAAGTTTCGTCCTCGAAACTAATCTCAAGTAATAAAAAAGTGAAAATATTTTGCTCGCATAGCCAACTCTAGTTTGCATGTAACTTCCTCTATTTCATGATATTGCCACAATACTTTCGTAAGTGAGATGATCTTATTGCAAAATATTTTTTCTTTGGTGTCTAGGAGCCTTAGTACATCACCAAATTTTGTATAAACATGTCCAAACCACTTAACCAATTTTCTCTAAATTTATTTTCTATTGGTGGCAGTTTCTACAGTGAAATAATTCTATGAAAGCTACCATTTAATTTTTCAAGGCACACCAAGAAACAACATTCTCCAGATGATTTAAAAAATAAATTCAAAATATATAAACAAAAGTAATTTTTAATATATCTTACCTCTCGATCTTCATTTAGTATTTTAACAATCATTCGAATGAAGAAAAGAGAAAAAAACATAATGAACTTGCTTTTGTACTAAGATCTTGTGGATTTTACCAAATCATACAAAATTTAGGCAAAATCACAAACCTTGTTGCAAATTATTTTAAATTATACTATCTCCACTATTACGCGAGCTTCAATAAATTTATATTGGAGGAATGGGGACAGCATCGTTGTAAACCATTTATAGTTCAAAAATTTCTAAGTCAATTAATTAGGGGAAAAAATGCAGTCGATATTGACCTTATCAATAACAAATGGATCGCACAGGGATAGCAAGCACAAGATCGATAGGTAAAGAAATAAATGTTGAAATGGCCCATTTCTCTCAGTGGCCAACGATAATGCATTTCTAAACATCATTAGAAATTTCGGGTTTCAAATTTTCAAAAATTGGCAAATTGCGAAGTTGGAAATTTGTGGTCGGAGAGTTTAATAGATGAGAGCAAACCACCAATAATACAACAGGAACACATACACAACATCCATGTGGCAAAACAAACGTGTCATAAAGGTTGAACCCAAGAAAAAGGAGGATGAAAAGAGGCAGCCAAATACACGCCACAATTATATTTTCTCTGACAGAGAGTCGAGCATGTCCCATTTCAACAAATTCGTTTTCATGTGATATCAAATATTAGAGTCATCCTAAGAGAGGATTTAACTACGTCCCAACAGAGGAAATTTGATTGGTCTTTTAGTATCTAAAACTGCTGTACCCTCCTATGCTGGAAGATCCATATCCTCCTAGTGGCTGAGATGAAAAGGAAGATGAAGGATAGGAGGGGTCAGCCAAATGAGAGTAGGAACTCAATCCACTGTCAATATTGCCATAGATGCTTGCGGCTGGTTCTTTGTGACTGTTTATGAACTCCTGCAAACAGTCCAAAAAGGAAAAAAAGGAATAAGGAAATTTGGCCAAATGGGAACATCTGGACCACACTTAAACTTTGGAGTTTTTTTAGCGTTTGTTTGCCAGAAAAGCTCGTCAACACAAGTTCCTACTCACAAGATGATATGAGATAAAAGAACAAATTCACACTATCCATTTAACAGAGTCAAAGCTGTGTTTCGCATTAGAGAAAATCACCATACAGTCAACATCTCCAATTAACACCAATAATCTTAACTCCTGTATAAATTTTTCCAACAAAAATCTAGATGAGAACTTAGATTTTCCTGGTTTTTAACCAAATCATATCCAAGCTAGGTATCTAACTAAACAGTAAGGAATAACAAATTCAAAAAGTAAACATAATACATAGCAGGCTATTACCAACAACAAACGAGGCTATTAAATAAGAACATGGAGAACGCAAAAACAGTGATAAACATAACAACAAAGTTGGAAACAGGAAACAGAAACCTTAAGGGCCTGCTTAGATATGTTCTCAAAAACCATCATTCAAAAGCATATTTTCGAAAAGTTTTCTTCTAGAAAACTGTGGCCCGGTTTGGATTGCATCCCATAAACTGTCTTTTTGTTTTCGGAAACAGTTTCTAGAAGAAAGTTGTTTGGTCAGCTGTTTTTTGTTTTTGTTTTTTGAAAACTGAGAACAAAAAGTAGATAGATTTAGAGAATAAATTAAGACTGTTTTATGTGTTTTTTGAAACATTTCCAAAATTTAAAAAGCACGTCCACCAGCATCACGTCCACATTTCTTTTTTCATTATTTTTCTGATTTATTGTTGTTAAGTGTAGAGGATTAACACAATATTAAAGAAAAACAAAGAGAGGGTAAAACATAACTTAGCTCTCATACATTATTTGTATTTATAGTTAACTCATAATAATAATAATTACACATGCACCCTCTTCCTATTAATAATTTACACATACTATCCTAATATTATTAACACTCCCCCTCAAGCTGGACTATATATATCATATAATCCAAGCTTGGAACAAATCGTTGTAAGGCGTGTACGACTCAATGCTTTGGTAAACATATCTACAAGCTGATCTTCAGATTTCACAAATGAAATTGGAATTTCCTCAACTACTATCTTATCTCGAATAAAGTAACAATTAACCTCAATATGTTTGATTCTCTCGTGAAACACCGGATTAGCAACGATATGGATAGCTGTCTGGTTGTCACAAAACAACTGTAAAAGAAGTTGAACTGAAATCCCAATTTTCTGGAGAAGGTGCAGCAGCTAAGTCAACCAACTCGTCATATGCACCATTGCCCTATACTCAGCCTCAGCACTGGATCTTGCTACCACAGATTGTTTCTTACTTTTTCATTAGACAACGTTACCTCCTAAAAAAATACAATAACCAGTGGTTGATCTCCGATCATAAGAAGAGTCAGCCCAATCAACATCTGCGAAACCTTCCACTCTAAGATGTCCATTAGCTCAATATAACAGTCCAAGTCCAGGAGCTCGTTTGAGATATCGCAGAATACGAGTAACTACCTCCCAATGTGGTACTCTAGGACATTCCATAAACTGACTTACTATATTGACTGCATAGGAAATATCCAGTCGAGTAATAGTGAGATAATTAAGCTTCCCAACTAATCTGCGATACCAACCTGAATTCTCAAACAGTGCAGCATTATCCATCAATAGTTTCTGATTCGGATCCATAAGAACATCAATCAGTCTGCCACCTAGCAAACTTGCTTCCTCTAGCATATTAAGTACATATTTCCTCTGTGATAAACAAATACCCTATTTAGATCGAGCCACTTCAATTCCCAAGAAATACCTGAATTTTTTCAAATCCTTAGTATGAAATCGATCTTTCAAGAAGATTTTTAACTTAGCAATCCCCTCAGAATCATTTTCAATGATCGCAATATCATCTACATAGACTACCAATAGAACATATACAGCATCCGTTTGTCTATGAAACACAAAATGGTTTGTCTGACATCGAAAAAGACCAAACTTTAAAACTGCTTCGAAAAATTTACCAAAGCATGCCCTCGGTGTTTGCTTCAAACCATACAAAAATTTAACCGACATACACTCTTACCATACTCCCCCTAAGCAGTAAAGTGGTCGCTTCATGTAAACCTCTTCAACCAAGTCACCATGTAGGAAGACATTCTTGACGTCTAACTGAAACAAGGGCCAATTAAGATTAGCAGCCAAAGAAATCAAGATACGAACAAAGGAGATTTTGGCAACAGGAGAGAAAGTCTCCTCATAATCAACACTATAGGTCTGCGGAAAGCCCTTTACAACAAACCGGGCTTTGAGACACTCCACAGAACCATCCAGCTGAAATTTAACAGTATACACCCAACGACAACCAACAGTTCGTTTACCAAGAGGTAAAGGAACGAGATCCCAAGTCCCATTATGATGTAAGACATCCATCTCCTCCTCCATAACTTTCCTCCAACCCGAATCAAATAAGGCATCCTGTAAATGCTTAGGAATAGATATAGTAAATAATTGAGAGGTAAAACAAGAGAAGGCAGGAGACAAGGCATTATATGAAACAAAATGAGTAATGGGGTGGTTAGTAACACATAAACGAGTACCTTTTCGAAGAGCAATAAGTAAAGAACCAGGATCAGAAGAGTCTAAATTACTTGATGTACCAGGATCAGAAGGCGGTAAGGAAGACAGTGCGGGCACCTTAGTCGATAGGTGAGGAATATCTGAAGATGGTGATATAAGAGATGACCCGAAGTCTAGATCCAAAGGCTGAGTAGGTGCTGAAAAATATGGAACAGATTATTCAAATGTGACATCAGCACTAATAAAGAATCGTCGCAGAGAAGGACTGTAACAACGATACCACTTCTACGTGCGAGAGTAACCAAAAAATACACATTTGATAGCCTGAGGGTCAAGTTTATCAAACCCAGGACCCAAATTGTGTGAACATAACAAACACATCTAAAAACCTTCGGAGTTGAGCAAAATACAGTCTTACTAGGAAAAAGGACAAAATATGGACTTTGTCCATTTAACACAGAGGATGGCATACAATTAATAAAGTAACAGCCAATAAGAACAGCATCACTCCAAAAATATCGGAGAATATTCATCTGGAATAACAGGGCACGGGTGACTTCCAACAAATGACGGTTTTTACGTTCAGCAACACCATTTTGTGGGGAGGTATAAACACAATAAGTCTGATGAATAATGTCAGTTTTACTAAGATAAGCTGAAAAAATATCATATTTATTTTTCTGAGCATTATCAAAACATAAGATATGTATATGACAACCATATTGAGTTTTTATTTCCTTACAAAATGTCTCAAATATAGAGAATAATTCAGACCAAACTTTCATCAACAACCAAGTCACACGAGAATAGTCATCCACAAATTACACAAAATAAAGATATTTATTAGATGAAATATTCTTTATTGGACCCTATTCATCAAGAATATACCAACTCAAATAGACTAGACACACAATTATTGATTCTAGACTGAAATGACACACGATGATGCTTACTAAGTTGACAAGCTTCACAAGACAAAGACGACACATAACTAAGACTGGAAACTTGGCGCTTCAAATTCTGGAGAAAGGGATGTCCAAGACGACAATATCATTGAAAAGGAGACAACGAGGTCTGTAAAGTCCGAGTAGGTGAATCAAAATCAAAGTAATATAGGTCACCAACTTTATATCCCGTATCAATCTTCCTCTTCGTCTTGAGATCTTGAAAGACACAATAAGATGGATAAAATGTTACAGAATAATTGAGAAAATGAGTAATCTTGCTAATAGAAAGTAAACTAAAAACAAACTGAGGAACAAATAACACAGAAGATAGAGACATATCAGAACTCAAGTGAGTAGTCCCCAGACCTGAAACTTTAAACAAGTACCATTAGCAAGAGTAACTACGTGTGCAAGTAGCAGACTGATAAGTAGAAAAAACATTAAAACCACCAGTCATGTGGTCAGAATCGCCAGAGTCTATAATCTAGGGACTGCGAGGGAAGGACAATAAACAAGTGAAAGCAATACCTGGGCAAAAATAGCAGTGGAGGGAGATAAAACAGCTTGTTGCTGGGACAAGAACTGAGCATACTTCTCTCGTGTAATTGTAACCAACCCAATGTCTGGTAGTGCTGACCGAGGTACGGAAGCAACAACAAAGATGCTATCCTGATAAGAAGCCTAATTCGCAGCACCAGAAGGTTTTCCATGTAAATCTCAACAGAAATCAACAGTGTGCCCTCCACGACCATAGTGAATACAGGAACGAGATCCACTACAGCCCCCACGACCACTTGTACGACCTCCTCGATAACCATCACTGTGGCTACTGGGGACCACAAAGGCTGAGCGGTCAGTGGAGACACCATGGTCGATGCCTGAAGTAGACAAAGTAGCATGTTGTACACAAGGGAAAACCTCAAGTAGTGAGGGAAAACTAGAACCACCTAAAATCTGAGAACAAATAGCCTCATATTCAGGTTTCAGTCCTACCAAAAACCTAACAATATTCATGTCCTCATGTTGCTTCTGTCAAACTGCTGCATCAATAGTAAATGGATGGTAAGTCTTCATCTCCTCACAGACTCCCCGAACGTGAGAATAATAATCTTCAATGCTCAGAGTACTCTGTTCCAATCGGAAGTACTCCTTGCACAGCTTATAAGCTCAGGTAAAATTGCTTGTACCAGAATACATAGTGGCTAATTGATCCCATATCTTCTTAGCAGTGTCAAGGTAGAGCAGAGTAGAACTAATACTAAGCTCATTGCTATTCAATAGTAAAAAAATAATTTGAGCGTCTTATTGTTCCCACTGATCATACCTAGGAGTATTTTCCTTGAGTTTAGGATCCACCAAATATTTCTTAAATCCTTTGCCTCGAAGAAAGGCTTGAACAGATCGGGACCATAAAATGTAATTAGTTTCATTGAGTTTGACAGAGGTCATAGAACTATTGATAAGAGTAAGAGTCAGAGGAGGTAAAGCTAGAGTAAGGGACTTAGTATCTTGTTTGGGTTCCATAATAGTGCATCAAATAGCAAACAAGAAGTGTTGCAATGCTGAACCAGAGGAAAAGAGACTGCTAAAAGGCTAAACCGGGCTGGAAAACCAAGCTGGACTACTGAACCAGACAGGCTGAGCATGCTGGAGCACTGAACCGGGCTGGAAAAGCTAGCTGGGTCACTGAACCAGACAGGTTGAACCCTCTGGACCGTTGAACTGGGTTGGAAAAGGCACCTGGACCGCTGAACCGGACCGGTTTGACTTGCTGGATCACTGAATTGGACCGGTTTGACCTCCTAGACCTCTGAACCCAAGTCAAAACTGTCTGAACCAGTCTAAACCACAAAAAAACAAGGCTGAACCGAGACCAAGCCGGGAGCCGATCTAGGCTAGACCGTTGTCTTCTTCGTTGGTTATGGTTCCAAAGGACCCTCTTCTTCGACTGCACATCACCACCGACAGATGAGAAACCACAACAGCCACACCACCACCACGACAATGGCCACCCTGGTCTTCGATTGCACCTCTCCACCATGACAAGCGACACCACAACAGTACCACAACACAGACCACCACCAACGATCAATGCCCACCACAACACTGAGACACCACAACAGTACCACTACCACCACGAGCAACGCCACCGCAACGACCGACAAAACCACCACAACAGTACCACCACCACTAAAAATTAATTTATTCAGAATATATATTTATCATCGTAATGCTCTGATACCATGTTAAGTGTAGAGGATTAACACAATATTAGTGAGAAACAGAGAGAGGTTAAAATATAACTTAACTCTTATACATCACTTGTATTTATAGTTAACTCATAATAATAATAATTACACATACACCCTCTTACTATTAACAATTTACACAAACTACCCTAATATTCTTAACAATTATCTAAACAAAATTTATTACTTTCTATTCCGTAGAACTATTTTTAGAATCATATAACCAAATAAATTCAATCACACAAAAAAACACAAAAACATTTTTCTAAAACTCTTCCCAAAAATAACTTTTAGACACTATTTTTTGAGACTCAAACCAAACAGGGCCTTTGATTTTAGTTTTTTGTATCCCAAAATATGTTTGATTATATGATTCTGAAAACAATTTTAAAATAAAAAATAGTAAAACATGTTTAGATAGTGATCCAAAAAATAATAAAAATATGGAATATAATTTGAATTAACTCTTTTGATAAAAATCTTTTGAAAAAAAGCACGAGAGTGAGAGCAAGGGGTGGGGTGTGTTACCATGGTTTTCTTTCTCAGCGAATATTATTCATGTGGACGAACAAGATGTACTCATAGAACTCTCAACATTGCATTACTTAATATTAGAAATTAAATGACAAAATTTTCCAAAAACAAAAAAAAAAAAAGGATAAAAGACAATTGTTGAATGTTGATGGACAAATCTCAACCAACAAAAAATTAACTTCAAAAATTGAACATGCAACAACGATATCCTTTCTTTCACAGTGAAAAATGGAAAAACAAAGCCAACAACATAGATCCCAAATTTATAGTTTGCATAGGAACAAATCTAAGGAGAGAGTCAACCTCAAGAAAATATGCAAAATTATTCTATTAGAAAACAAAGCACATGGAAAAAAACATTCTTCACTAGTTTGTTAGAGGCTGATTGGACCTCTTGTCACCGGTTTGTGCCACATGAAGAACCAAAACTTCGGACGAGACTAGAAGGTTTGCAGGAATCGATCATGCTTGCTTAGAGGTGGAGTGAAAGACATAGACGAGAGAGAAAAAAAATTTCCTTTTAAATGATGTCTTTAAGTACACAGTATATTGCATCCCGTTTTTTCAATTCTTTTCGAAACTGTCTCTCAAAACTGATAAAAACATGTTATTAGTGTTCTATGAAATTCTGACTTTTTGTTCCTAATTTTTGAAAAATAAATACAAAGCTCTGCAGTCTAAACATTTTCTCTTTTGTTTTTACTGGAAAACTATTTTGTAGATGCAAACCAAACAGACCCTTAATTTCACGAAGATTGGATAAGCCAATGAAGTTGTTTATTTGAGACCATACTTAGAATTTGTCTAGGCCTTCAATTATGGATCAAATAAACCAAGGAATTTGGATTCTCTGACTACTGCATCAATGATAACCTTCAAACAAGATTCCTACTGGCCCTTTCTTGAAACCCATAACAAAGTTTGAGGGGCAGCTTAATTTCTGTCACTGGATGAAACTGAAGCGATAAACATCTTTTAAAGGCTTTGCTCCATAAAATTTACATTTATGTTTTCTAGCATGGTTGCTAAATAAGCACGTCTTTTCTGGTTGACAGTTATCTTTATACACTTACTGGAAAGAGGCTCTCACATATTAGCAAAGGAATATTGTAGGCTGTACAAATTTATTTGGTTAGTTAAAGCCTTGTTTTATGTTAATTCTCAGGTTCATTTGCTATAGGTATATTGACACAACAGTGGTTGGAGGCATAGAGAAATCACCATTTCTCTATGGAAAATCAATCATACAAATCTTGAATCCACAAGAAGAATAGGGAAAAACTTTAGGAAATATTAATCAAAGATAGCTGTGGCTGCTCAATACATAAGGAGTTCATATAGTACCCAAATCCTAAATTTTTATAAATAAAAAGTCTTGTGATAACCAAAGAAAATACGCTTGTAATCCGCCAAGACTCTATAAGAGTCGGGGAGAATTAAATCCAAATTTCTCACAATAAGATGAATTTTCTAAATCTTTCCTAAAAGAAAAAATTGCTAATTTGCATGCTTAAATGATGGAATTTTCCCCAAAAACGACTTACATCATATCGAAGCAATAAATATTGATTCTTGGCCCGATTCTATCAAATGGCATAGGTCTTGCTCCATTCTAACTTCGTCCCCCATTTTGCCTCTACTATTAATTTGCCATATTCCATAATGCTTTGAATGTGTGATAGTCTTCTCATTCAAGGAGCTCTGTCTTGACTTGACACGCCATATATTTGTATTCAAGGTTTCTTATATTTCAAGACCGCCAAGAGTACTTATTAGCCTCCAGATTTGATGGACAAGAATGTAGTCAGCCGAATAAATTTATTTGCTAATATGTGGCCAGTCATATAGTTCAATAAAGATTTTAAGTGGGTCCGCTTGGACTATGTTATGTATGAATGATCTTTTAAATTTTATAGGAGATCTTGGTCCTTTATTTATAGTCCTTGCTTTTTTCCATAAAATAAAAATCCACTGTCCCTATGACAGAATAAAATGAAGTAAAAAAAAACCTCTCATTTTACAGGGATTCATGTCAATACCTTTAAAAATGACAAAAATTAAACATGTTTCTTGTGTAAAATTTAAGTCGTACTCAGTTTTTGGCAAATGGAAAAGAGCCATGATATGTGTCAGAGTCTTTTCAATCCTTGGAGGTGGATTCAACATGCGTTGATAAAAGCACTAAAGTTTCACATTGTTTCTGAGTCCTTTCCAGGTTGATAAGGCAGTATTCTTTTGTAAAGACAAGAACCATGCTAAGGTAGTAGGCAACAAAAGTATGCCTAATATGGAAGAGATAGCTAAGGTGAGATTAACTAAATGGAATCCAGTGTCAAACTCAGGAAGGGATAGGATGTCTTTCTTGGGAGGATGTATTGGAATCGAAGGCTTACCCTTTCATTTGTGGAAAGAGGATGTATTTAGGAAGATGGGAGATTGGTGTGGAGGATACGTGAAGGTGGTTCGCCGTATGCTGTTTCAATAGAATTCGTTCCAGGCCAAGATTATGCTGGAGAGGAGTGAAAATGGTATAATTCCATCATTATTGAATGTTGATTTTCAAGGGAAGAGACACTTGATCAAAATTAGGGCACTTTCAAAACTTGGTACTACTACTACTGATTGTTCAAAGCTGAAGGAATTGTATGGTAGCATGAAATTTTCATACTTCAGTAGTGAGGTAGAAGATGATGATGGGGCTATGGCTTCTTCAAAGATGGTCAAAGATAACGGTGTACAGAGAATCAATGCACCAGATCTGGAAAGGAGTAATTTTGCGCTGGAGGGAAGAAATAACATACCGGAAATTAGGAATTACAGTAATGATAGGGGGCGGTAATTAAGGATGCATTTAATACTGATCCTGTAATTAAGGGCCAATTCAAATTTTGAAAAAATAGGAGGGAGTGTTAATGGGTTTGGAAAGGCAATTAGAGAAGTTAATGAAATGGGCTGTAGCAGTGGATTAGTTTCTGGAAGTGATCCTGTGGGCTTTTGAAAAGAGCTTGGGCTTTCTATCTCAAAACTCAACAAAGCCCAGGTGACTTTTGGATACAATTAATTTGTGTACTGATTTGAGTATTCAAAGCCCAATGAGAGTGGGCCATTTTAAGGCTAAACAGCCAGAGCATTTTAAATTCAGGGATGTCCCAATTCAAACCCACTAGGGCCAATTTGGATAGCCCGACAGCGGAGATGGTGGTCCTCCAGTTGATGAAGATGATGAAGATCATAAGATACAGTGTCAGGATGAGCCATTCGAAGAGGCTGCTTTAGAAGATGGAAACCACTATCATAGCGAAGACAAGGAAGACTTCGATGCACCTGTTGAGTTCGAGCAGCGCTTGCGACTGCCTGTTGGATCTAATGGCTTTGATGATGTTAACACAACCTGCTTGTTTTCCGATGAGAGTGTTCAAAGACATGAACGCTCAACTGACAATTCACGAAGTGAAGATTATGCTTCAAAAAGAGAATCTAAAGGGCTAGAGTCACATTATAATATTGAGGATTTCTTCGATAAAGGCAGAGAATTGGGCCATGTGATGGTGCATGCAGGAGGTTCTAATCCAGAGGCAAATCAGCAGGCATGTCTTTCTTTTGTGTAACAATATAATGTTTTTTCTTGCACTCAAAAAGGGCTTGGAAACTATATTCAATCGGAAGATCTGGAGTCAGTTTCCAAAAGGTTCATTTTTTGAGGGGGATACAGCTTCTATAATGATTTTAGGTGGTCAGGCAGGGAGGTCCTCGTCTTTTCCTGGAGATATGGATGACAGAGGTTGTGGGAAATTTGCTAGTTCAAAACTGTTGGGGGAACTGAATGTGGGTTCATGTAAATCATTGATGTGTATTGAAAAGGAAGATGTCATTGGTAATTTTGTTTCTTGGGATCCTATAGCCTTGCCAACTGAAGCAATTGATTGTCATCACCAAGAGAGACTTCATTTTATCCCAGACGGATGGACGGAGTGTGATCACTGTGACAAGGGAGAGAAGTTTTTATTATCTGATGATGAAAAATGGTCAATATTAAAGAAATTCATAGAGAAAATTGGCTTGTCTTTAGTCCACAATAAAAGGAAAGGAAAGAAGGGTGAGCTAAGATCTGTTAGGAAAAATAAGGGGATGAGGAAACTTAGAAATTCATGGTCTGGAGCTAACTATGATGGTATTGTGACTATGAGGTGTGAGGAAGGTGAAGGAGTTTTGATATGAACAGTACTAGTTGGAATGTAAGGGATTTGGGTTCTAGGGAAAAAAGGAGTTCAATTAAGAAGTTAATTTTAAGAGAAAGGCCAGATGTGGTTATCTTACATGAGTCAAAAAAGAAAAAAATTGAGAGAAAATTGGTGAAAACTATGTGGGATTCTAGATATAGGAATTGGGTAAGTTTACCTTCTAAGGGTGAAGCAGATGTTATATTGATAATGTAGGATGAGCGGACAACTAAGGTGGAGGAATTAGTGGAGGGTGGGTTTACACTTTCAGTTAGGAGTGGTAGCTAACTAGAATATATGGTCCAAATTGTCCTAGGGTAAGAGGTTGATTGTGGGAGGAGTTGGCAGGTTTGTATGGTCTTTGTACTCCTCGACGGTGTTTAGGGGGGGACTTTAATATCATTAGATATCTTTCTAAAGGATTTTGATTCTTTCATTAGGAAAACCACACTCAATGATCCTCCGTTGGGTATGGTCTTTGTACTCCTCGATGGTGTTAGGGGGGAAACTTTAATATCATTAGATATCTTTCTAAAGGATTTTGATTCTTTCATTAGGAAAACCACACTCAATGATCCTCCGCAGGGTAATGGAATTTTTACTTGGTCTAATTTTAGAAAAAATTCTTGTCATAATAGATTGAATCGATAATGGAATTTTTACTCCGCTGGGTAATGGAATGTTTTCCGGGTGTGAGACTGGAGATTCTTTCAAGAGTTGTTTTGGATCATTCTCCCATTGTTCTTGATTGTGCTACTGTTAAGTGGAGTCCTTGTCCATTTAGGTTTGAAAACACGTGGATTGAACATCATGCATTCAAAGGGAAATTCAGAAGTGGTGAGGGGAAAGCAAGTTTTAAAAGGTGGGAAAGGCTTTAAATTTATGAAAAAATTGGAGCATGTGAAACAAGAAGTGAAGAGATGGAATAAGAAAATTTTTGGAAATATAAGAATAATCAAAAGTTTAATTGTGAGTACCATTGCAAAAATTGAAAAGATTGAAGAGAATGGAGGATTAGATGAAAATTTGAGAAGGAAAGATGAGAACTTAGGCATAAGTATGAGGAGGTGGTTTTCAAGGAAGAAATTAGTTTGAGACAAAAGACTAGAGTGAAATGGATAAAAGAAGGAAATAATAATCTAAAACTTTTTTCATAAAGTGGTTAATGGTAAGAAAAAAAATTTCATTGATAAATTGGAATTAGAAGATGGTGTGATTATTGAAGAGAATGGGATTATTGAGAGTAAAGTTGTGGAATTCTTTGCCCATCTCAGGGGGTTGTTAGGTCAAGATTGGAAAGTTTGGAGTGGAGTCTTATTAATGAGAATAAATTTAGATGGTTGGAGAGATCTTTTGATAAAGGAGAAGTGAGAAAAGCTATTTTTGAGTGTAGTAGAGATAAAGCACTAGGCCCGGATGGGTTTACTTTGGGTATGTATCAAGAGTGTTTGGATATAGTAAAGGGGAATTTGATGAAAATTTTTAAGGAGTTTTTTCGAAGTGTTGTTAATGCAATTATCAACTCTACTTTTATTTGCCAAATCCCTAAGAAAGACAAGTCTATGAAGATGAAAGATTTTAGGCCGATAAGTAGAGATGGCAGTGGACCGAGGAAAAACAAGTATTCGTCCAAACCCGCCTTGTTTGGACTAGAGATGGACTATACGTATTGAACGGTGGACGTATACGGGAATACCCGTATAAATCCGTGCGGAGATGAAGGTGGGGATGGACTTACCCTTACTCCCGCCCCCCCCCGGGCTATACCTGTTATATATATATACTCTGAAGTTAAAGGCCTAACTTACTCTCCTCTATCATGAACGATACTTAAAATGAATATCGATTTCCTTTATTTTTCTTTGAAAAGGTCAAAAAGCCACAAAATTTTGAGAATTTCTATTGTTATGCATTTCGATACTACCTAACAGGTGAGCCTAGAGTTGGTAGGCATGTGGTTTAATCAAATGGAAGCGATACCTTGGTTTTTTTCAACAGTGTCCTGTTTTTAGTGATTCTATTTTTTATCATCTTTTATCTTTTTCAGAGGATAAGCGAAAGTCTTTAGACATTGAGAGTGTTTGTATTATGTTATTACCTGCGTACCATTTACAAGCGTTTGGACACATTTCTTTGAGGTAAAGCTTCAGTATCAACTTTTTGTCTATTTGTATTATATTTCCGCTTTGATATGTGTTTATTTCTTTTTTCAAATCAGAACTACAGTGATTATAAGGTAATAAACATAGATTGGTGAACAAACTTTTTCCGGTTTTGCGACGAACTTTTTCCGGTGTGTGCTATTATATTATGTTATATATAGTTGTGTTGGATTTATTTAGAATTTTGGATATGTTGGCTTGAGCTTGAGTTTGGGCTTAGGCTTGGGCTTGGGAGAAGCAAGGACGGGGGCGGAGATTAGAAATTTTCCCGCAGACAAGGATGGGGATGAAAACTATAACCGTTAACGGAGGGTAGATCAAGGACGGACGAAATTTTTTTAAGCGGGTACAGGGATGTAGACTACACACCCCGCCCCCGTTTCGGTCCACTAACATCCCTACCGATAAGTTTGGTATCTAATCTCTATAAAATTATTGCAAAAGTGTTATCATTGAGATTACAGGATACTCTTAATGACACTATTTCTGAGTGTCAAAGTGAATTTGTTAAGGATAGACAAATTTTTGATGTTGCCCTGGTAGCTAATAGGTTGTTGAGGATTATAAAACCAAAGGAAAAGAGATTTATCTTAAATTTATTTTGAAAAGGCCTACAATTATGTGGAATGGGATTTCTTGGACTTCGTTTTGGAAGTTATAGGATATGAAGGTAGAAGGAGAAGGTGGATTAAAGGTTGTTTACATTCAATGAACTTCTCTGTTAAGTTTAATAGGATGCCTAGAGTAAGATTTAAGGCATCTAAAGAATTGAGACAAGGGACCCTTAATCTCCTTTTCTTTTTTCTTTAGCTGCTGATAGATTTAGTAGACTAGTGAGGATGGTAGAGAATAGAAATCTAGTGAAAGGAATTATTGTGGGAAGGGATAGGATATATGTTCCTCACTTATAGTTTGTTGATGATACTATTTTCTTTTGTGAGGGGATGAGGAAAAGATTTAAACATTAGGAACATTGTGGAGTTTGGGTTGGTATGAGAATTGAAGGTGAGTATGGACAAAAGCTTACTTGTGCATAAATTCGCAATATTATAAGATCAATCGAGTGGCAGGACTTTTGAGGTGTAAAGTGTAGGAGTGGTCAATGAAGTATTTAGGGTTGCCTTTGGGGAGGAATCCATTGTCCTTATCCTTTTGAGATTCAGTAGTAGAAAAAGTAGGTAAAATACTTGATGGTTGAAAAAAAGGCTTTCATATCCAAAAGGGAAGAGGTTAACATTAGTGCAGTCGGTCTTCACTAGTACTCTCACATACTTTTTATTGTTATTTTAGTTATCAGGGAAGATTGGAATGATGATTGATTTCTTGTGGGAAAGATTTGGTGAGGGGAGGAAGGATCATTTAGTAAGTTGGGGGATGGTTTCTAGAACTAGAGATAAGGTAGTCTTTCATTTGGAAATTTGAAGACAAAATATATTGTTTTAGTGAGTAAGTGGCTTTTAGAGGTTTTCCTTGGAACAAAATTCTCCATGGCATTTAGATATCAAGAACAAATGTGTTTTACAAGCCAATTGATGGGATACTAATACGATTGAAAGGAAAAAATTTTGAAACCCGTAGAAATTTATATCTCTGGGATTGATGAAGTTTTCTCAAAATCTTAAATATGGGTGGGCAATGGGGAGAGAGTGCGTTTTTAGGAGGATATTTGGGTAAGGGAGTCATCTTTTTCATCTTTGTTTTCATGCCTCCATTAGTTATCTTCTTTCCAGGGAGCTTCCATCGCTTCTATGCCTCAATCATATAATCTTCCGTACTCTTGAGAAGGCCCAGTTTTTCTCTTTCTTCCCAATGATGGGTGATGTGTAAAGGGGCTTTTGAAAGTATTGATCATTTATTTTTACATTACCCTAGTGCTTTGTCCTTATGTCATAAGTTGTTTAGTTTCACGGGCTTGAGTTGAATGATTCCTAAGCCATCAACATCCTGGTTTGTTGAAGATTTGAAAGGTTTTGGAAGGCTTGATAAGGGACTCACTCTTAGGAATTGTGCAATAATGACTATTTTTTGGGTCATTTAGAAAGAAATGAATGCTCGAATTTTTTAAGATAGATACGAGTGTTTGGAAGGCTTATAGAATCGTGTTTATTTTCTAGCATCATTCTGGGCTTTAGTTACTAAGGACTTCATAAGAATTCCGCTTTTTGCTATTTTAGCGCGATGGAGACCATAATGTGATTTATAGACCAGTTATGTGTTCTACTTCTTGTTTTTCACTTTGTTATTTTCTACATTTGGTTGGTTTCAACCATTCATGATGTACTTTTCCACTTTTATATTATATCTGGGAATAAAAAAGTTTTGTTTCCTATCAAAAAAAAAAATTGATTAGTAGATTGTATCATATGTGGATATGTGTCGAGAATAATTCAACTCTGGTGTTAACATATCCGGTCAAAAAATGACAGTCTTACTATGTAGACCCAACCACAGAGTTCTAATAATAATATTTATGAAAATTCTAGAAATCCGATGGTCCTACCTGAATAAGTTGTTCAGCTGCCTGAACTTGTGAAGAAGTGCCCTTAATTTCAACAGTAATCTCATCAGGTAAGCCCATACTCTCTTGTACAGTAAGAATTGCTCCACTTGTACGACGAATGTATGCAATGTTTGCTCCACCAATCCCAATGATGTCCTCAGCATAGGACAGGGGAACTTGCATTGTTTTTGTCATCTAAATCAGTAAAACAACAATCACAATATAGTAATCAATAGCTAACGATAAATAGATAAATTTATAGAAGGAGTACCACAGCTACATTATGGGGTAGACATGCTCAATCTGACAAAAAGGTGAAAGAAAAAACAAAACAAAAAAAAAACTAAATGGAAAGAAAATATTGTGCGATAAATGAAAATGATGCATCCATAACAGACAGGTGCGTTCTATCAAAAAAAAAAGAAGGGGGCACTACGAATCCACCTGAACTCTCCAAAAGGGGGATAAAGCTACCTAACACTTACCACTCCCACGATATAAGCAAGAGTCTTGTGCACTAGATATAGCCTTTAGCGAAGTGACATGTATACTAATGGAATATAATATAGACAGAACCCATATTAAGAATGGCAGAAAAAATGGAGCACCTTGATTAATTATGGACCATAATGAATAAGCCATGTCACCTGTGAAAGTTTACTCCTTTAATCAAGGCAGTAATTTAAACAGCAACATGGAGGCCAAGGATTCTAAACTGGTTAAATGCCCGTTTTCATTCCATTGGGCACCTTCATGAGAACAGCATGAAGGAAAATTACCTTTAAAATTTGCAGAATTCTAACAACTGCCTGGACTTGCATGGCATGTGATTATCAGGCCTTTTGTGCCACACGGCTTTTAAAATTTGCAGTAGAATGAGATTTGGTTGATCAACATCCAAGGGACTCAAATCACCAATTCTCTTCTGACCAACATATCGACTGTCTTCCCTTTTGTTTTGTTTTCTTTTTTGTTTTGCCCATCTAAACTCATCTAACCAGAAACTACTTTGCCAAATTATGTTTATTTTGAATTGATAGCAAACTGTCGAGATAAGCGATACTTTGGTCTATCATAAAAGTTGGAATACATTTAGATAATGAGAATACAGTTTCAGAAAATCCTTATGACCAAAGTATTCATCCAGTAAATGTTTCATTTACCAGATGAAAGGAAATTATACATTTAGAGTGCATCAAGGTTGTCTAGAACAAATCTCTGAGCATATACATCCCATCTGAATTTTGAGTAGTTAAATTGGAATTAGATAATACGAGAGACGAACATTTGAAATGAAAAATCGTGTCACCTAAAAATTCAAACAATAAATAACTCTAGCTTCAATATCTCAAAAATAATTATTACCAAGAACTTTAACTTTGAAAAAGTGAGACTTTCAGCAAATAGATTGGCTTCCACAGTGCCTTAATATTTCCCCGCTCAATATGAATGATTCACATGGTGAAAGCAACATCAGTACTCCAGGACCTATTCACTTTGTAAATTTAGTTGGATCTGTAACATTCAAGGATCAAAATATCGTTTTGAAACGGTCAGAACATCTGAAACATTTCCGTTTCTAAGGAGACTAAAACGAATCAGTGATGAAATCGAAATTCTAATACTTCGAGGTGTTCCATAATGTTGTGAAATATTTTGTTATATTTCAATATATTTGTACAACTATTTCAGAATATTTTAAGGTATTTTAAGATTTTTTGATATATTTCGACCAATGTTTTGAAAAACTAATTTTTAAAATTTTTATTATTTTTCATTCTGTTTTCGAAACGGGTCGAAACATTTCCGAAACATGTCGAAACGTTCCATTTTTTAGGTGATCAAAATAATGTACCGAAACGAAATTTTTATCCTTGGTAACATTATCAAGAGGCATGGAGGGGATGGTGCATTGTGGGCATTATGAGGGAAATGATGGTTGGGTGTTAATTGCATTAAAAGCGAGCAGCAGCCCAATGTGATGGGAATTACCCACGTTGGTTGGGTTCACAATAAGTAAATGGGCCGGTAATTAGGAATTATAGGGAGGCTCTTATGGCTAATTTGAACTTGAAATGCAAGGTCAAGGGAGACAAGGGCAGCGACAGTAATGTCAATAGGAGAAATAATGAGGAAATTAAGGTAATCAAGGTTTTGAAGGAAACATTGATGCCTACTTCGATAATTGCCCTTCCAGTATCGGTGTAAAAGAGGAAAGGCTTGGCTCTCAAAGTGAATGTGGGCTTGATTCTTGACCCACCCCAAATAAAGTCCAAAAGGCAAGTTTAAGTCCCATAAGGATATTGGATTGAGAAAGAGGGCAAGCCTGATTGATTTGAATTCTAGATAGTAGCCTATCTCGCTCAAAGGCCCTAGATTTTATTGGGCCTTTCAAGCCTAAAGCTAAGAGTTGTTTTCGGATTAGTGGGTCGTCTGTCTTTGGAAAGGGACTTAAGCCCAAATTAGATAAACCGAGAAATAAAGGGTCAACGAAGAGGAGAGACAAAAAGGGAGTGGGGTACTATACACCTTGATTTAAGCAACTGACGATCAAGAGAAAATCGAGGATATATCAAATGATGGTGTCTCAGCCGAAAGAAAAAGGTGGTGGGGGTTGTTGGTGATTCTAGCCAAACATGAAGACTAAGGGAAAATCTCAGTGATTGATCCCTTTCAGTAGATGATCATGCAATGATGCGGTGGAAGCTGTTGATGAAGGTCAGTTTGTGCTCAATGAGATTGTCATAGCTTTGAAAAGGTGTGAAGATTCAACGAGTTGCTCTGAAGACAACGAGAAAGGTATTTGGAACAATAGTTGCAGAGTTTGATTCTGATGTTGGGATATTATTCAAGGTAGAGAATAAGGAATATCATAACGAAATGGGACAAAAGGAAGGCAAGATTGATGGACCTTCTTTTGATTCATATCATAAGGTATGTCACATTACGGGGTTTGTCTATTGTTCATTCCTCTTTATCGATTAGGAACAATTGTCTTCTTCTATCATCAGAGAAGAAGGCTAAAAGGGTGGCATCTGGAAATAGGTGTTTTGGGTCAAAGATGAGCATTGGTTGTACAAGTTTGTTAGGTCTGATTCCTACTGTAATAACCGATTCTGTGAATCTTGGTACCAACGGACCAGTCAAAAGTAGGAATAAGTCAATTATTGGATCATTGTAATGTGAAGTTGTGTGATAATATGGAAGGTAACACAATCAATTTCATATGTAGGAAGCCTCCAATTTGGCATATGGAAGTGGGGGATTTTGAATCCAAGGATGGAGTCCTTTGGGTAGGCATAAGAATAGTGGTTGCTAACTGATGAGGAGAAATGGATTAATTTGAAAAAAAAAATTGCATAGGATGCACTTCTCTTTAGTTTCGGCTAGGAAAAGGTCCAAAAGTTTAGGGAACTAAGAAAAAAAGCCTAAAGAGATAGGGTACACAGAGCTTAGAAACCTGCAGCCTAGGGTCAACTATCATGGAGTTAGCCCTGTGAAGGTTGGAGAGGGCGTCGATGATAAGACATGAAGAGTTGGGATGTTATGGGGCTAGGGTTAAAGAAAAAGAGCACGTCAATTAACGAAATGCTTTTGAAGGCAAATCAAGATATTGTGCTTTTACAAGAAACCCAGGATTGTAGGTTTGTTAAGAATGTTGGTTGGGATCTAGTTCAAAGAATTGGGTTTTTTGTCATTCGTGGGTAGATGGTGTGGAATTATATTTATGTAGGATGTGGGAGTATTGTAAGTTGAGGAAATGGTCGGGGGTGAATATACGATATCAGTTTTAGACCTAAGTAGGAGCGGAGTGGTGGTTAATGTCACTTCTCAACATGCAGAAGCATTCACATATAATAATGTAACCTAGCATAATGTAGTAGACCAACCCACATAAACAAACTAATGCATTTTGAATAAAAGCAAATATGGTGCATACATTACAGTCAACTTATCACATTGCTAATCACTTAGATACATAGCATCCCCATAAGAGTTAAACCTAAATCATTTACATGTTCATACACACTGATACATAAACTGTTCAAAAACACTAGTAATTTAATTATATATAGACTTCCCCGCCTCCACCTAATCTGAACTGGGTGAAATAATGTAAGGTGAACATCAACAACTCAGTAGAATAACTCAATTTTAGACATGCAAGTTTGAAAATACATAACTTAACATGATTAGGTAAAAGCGAAATGAACATTTGATATACATATACAAGATTGATCAAAAAAATATACATATACAAGAAACATCGTCATTTTATATGAAATAGTTGGCTTCTTCTCAAGGGAGTACTAATTCTAAAATGCTTTAATTGGCATGGTTTTGGTCATCTATCTTTTCAATGCCCTATAAAATCTTTAGTTGTGGTTTAAAAGAAATTTTCCAAGGTGAATAATGAGTTTAATGAGCCAAAATTTGAAAAAACAATTGTGCAACCTCTTGTTGCAAGTGAGGTTAATCTTGATGATTTAGATGATGATCATTTGATGGGTGTCATTCGTCCCCTATTTATTGCAAATGATGAAATTGCTAATGGCGAGCTTATTCATGGAGGAAAATCAAGAGTTAATTGTGAAGGCCAGGTATGCTCGGTGATTGAAGCTGGAGTTGCACAATTATTGTATCAAAAGTAGTCCTGAAGAAATTAAATATAAAAGTTGAGCCGCATCCATGATTATATCATGCGACATGGATTATTAATACCAAGCTGAAAGTGGATAAGAGATGTCCAGTTGCATTCACCATTGCTACACTTAATGAGACGGTCATGTGTGATGTGTTGCCTCTCAATATTTGTCACATACTTTTAGGACGCACTTGGATATGGGATCGTGATGCAAAGCGTGCCAACACTTACTCCTTTATTATTGGGAAAAAGAAATACGCATGTGTACTATAGATACACATAATGTGCAATTGAAAAAGACCATTACTCATTTAGTGAACTTCTCTATCAGATGATATTATTGGCTTCTTCACTTGTCGTAGTCGAGTTCTTTCTAGCGGGAGAGAATTGATAGTACAGTCATTGGTTGGTTGAACCAATATTATTGACTTTGAAAGCCTAGATGAAAAGCTACAAATTTTTGTTCCAAAGGAAAGTGTGATTGGTAGTTTTATTAGGATTAAACAATCATTTAATTAGAGGATACTAGTTTGATTAGAGAATTATTAGAAAGTTTTAGAAGGAGGGCCCTACGTAATTCATCATTTTAGAATTTTAATAGTAGAGTAATTTTTGTTTTGAAATGAGACTTAGAAAATAAATATTGACGCAATCCCTACTATATCATTAGAGAGTGATATTAATAAAATTATTTCTCTATGGAGAATTTGCGTGCTGCTTGACCTAATCCTTGCGACAGTTTGGTATCTCTTAATTCTTTCTTCTCCTCCTCTTATCGTCCTAAATCAGAACCCTAACACTATCTTCTCTCTTTCTCAGTTGCTTCCTTCATTTTTTCCACCTTCCTTTCTTTTCTCTCTTTTCAATAAGTTTATATGAATTCAACATGGTATTAGAGTGGGTCGTGTGATACTAGAGTGCACATGCATGCGGAATCCAAGAAGGTTTTTTCACTCTATGAGAGGCACAATTATTTTTTGAATTTTGATTTTGTCCGCAAAAAAATACTTCCATGAACGATGGGAGCAGATCTACCAATCCGTAATTTTTGAGAATTTTTTGAAAATATTTGATTCTTTCCTTTTTTTTTCTTCATTTTTTGTACAAAAGGGGCAGTTTTTTTGATAGCCTTCTAAACCTAATTCAATTGCTTGTTCCTTCCAAAGAGCAACATAAAAGTTCTACTTCAGGTCTGAGAGAGTATGAAATAAATAGCACTCCAACATTCTAATGCTATCCCCATATACCATCCGCCCCTTATGTTACCTACAAACTTCTTTTCAATATTGCTAATATCATATAGATTGAGGACAAATTTCAATAGCCAAGATGGTATATTTAAGAAGAAAATTCACAAGATATTCAACTAGATGTCATTAAAAAAGTTCCAGTAAAGTGCATGGAAAAAGTAGGTAGCAAATGTTTAAGAGAACAAAAACACAAGTTTTCAAATTTGAAGTAGTGTCAACGCCCCTAATTCTTCTAACATCCCCCAAAGCCCTTTCAAAGGGAAAAATAAGAACCAAAACCAACCCACCTACATGGAAAAAACGAGACAAACTAACTTCCTAACAATAAACCAAAATGAAAGAAAGTCAACCCAAACTTTCAAACAACATTTAAGCGAACCTGGGTAATTATGGGAGCAGCAGTACGTCCAAGTCCTGTTGAGCGTAGCCCACCAAGTCCAGGATCTTGTCCATAGAGGGACACTTTAGAGTATGTGATGTCAGAGTCCAGCTGAGACTCACGGTCAAAAAATAAATTTCCCCGCTTCACTGAAAGTGAAAAATCAGAACCACTACCAGTTTGAAGAGGAGTAGCAGCAGCGGAAGCAGAAGTAGGATGGGGCAAGGATTGGGTTTTATCAGGCCAGGACTCTACTGCACGGTCCTGGGAGATCGTTGCATTGTACTAACAAAAGAAAATACATTAGGAGATTACACACAGGCACAAACCCGCAAAATTTAAGCACTGAACTTACTGTCTTCTCGAATATTGGAACAACGCTATGATCAACCAGAAACTTCCTTAGTTGTCCCAACACTGCTTCTAATGCTTTAAGAACTTTCAAAGCTTCACCATGTATCTCAACAATTCTCTCATCTTGGGTAGCATAGGATGGCACTTCATCTGGGAAGGAGACATAACCATTATACGTTATGTTTGGGATTGAGAAATTCGCAAAAATAGTGTGAAAAATTAGATTCTATGATAAATATGGTTTTCTAAAAATGAAATAATATTACCGTTTTGAATATATCTGTTCATCCAAACAGATACAAGCATAAAAAAATAAAGTAAAATCCCATTCCCTCAAATAGGCCACAATTACCAGGCTCCAGTACTACACATTAGGACTGACAAACCATCTTATATTTCAAAACCTACTGACAGCATGCAACTCTATTTACTTAAATTTTAGTCCTGCATAAGACTTTTTCCCAAGAACTATTATGCAGAATGAGTGAAGCTTGTACAACTAAAAAAATCAGAAAAAATATGACATTACAAGTACCAAACATCTTATGGACTTCTATTACACAGAAAATTAGGCGAGCTTCTTTTTTCAGTTAATCACAATGACCACAACACTTGAACATAAAAATGTCAGCTGAGCATGTTTTCCTTATCAACAAAACTAGATGTCAAGATTTTGTGTTTTCAATCTATCAAATATAACTGATCTTGCATTGGTACAGTCCGATCACAACAGCAACTAGATACTAGAGTTACTCCAACAGGCTGGTGGATTGAATCTCTAAATCCCCAGACTCTCGCCGTCTTTCTCTCCAGACTCCATATCCCCAAGCCCTAGCCCGACGGCCTTACAATGCTCAACATGCAATCCTTTAAACCACTCCTACTATGGAACAACAATCCAGGTACTATCTCCCTGACGAGACACCAAACCTAAAAGTTGCCACATGTCAGCTGTCCCCTCGGTAGGGTTCTCATCCTTTTGGTATTAATTTAGTTTTTTACATGGGTCTTTCGTGGAACATCAATTATTGATTGCTCTCGATATTTTCTGAGGTTATCGATGGATCAATTATTGAGATCTGCAAAGAGATTTTATCACATCCTACTCAGGCTTTTCCGAAGAACTGTAAAAGAAAAGTCTCAAATCCGTGCGTAGATCTTTTTGCTGGAAGTCTGACAGGAGTGGTCACCCTTATGGGAGTGGTCACCCTTATGGGAACGGGAACGTCAAATATTGATTGCTCTCAGTATGTACCGGGGTTATCAATGGATCGATTATTGAGATCTGCAAAGAGATTTTACCACATCCTACTCAGGCTTTTCCGAAGGCATGCAAAAGAATATTCTCAAATCCAGTCTTTTTAGCAAAAAGTCTGACAGGAGTGGTTTCAATCTATACTCAAACTTCTAATAAGTGCCCTCTGTAAGCAGTTAATCTACAAATTTCACATTAGTCAGCGAAGTCCTCAAAATATGCACCATCAAGCCTGAAAACTGGTAAACGTGCTATGGCACTTTCAGACAAAACTAACTGAATAGATGCACCGTCCCAATCATTTGTCAGTCATGCCCAGCACATCCAATTTCTGCCACAAAAGAATGGATAATAAAGAATGATTGAAGCACATGATGTTTATTTCTATTTAAACCAGGGGACCAAAGGTAATGCTTCCAGCTACAAGGTCAAGGCCATGGTTGCAAGAAAAGTATTCTCAGGATAAAATTTCTTACAACGAACCTTTGGTCCTATAGGGAAGATGGACTTTGAAACCAATAGATCTAAAAACATATGCCAATGGACCCAAGCCATCAAATCAAAGTGATTGAGCACCATGTTAGGCCTAATCTGGGAAAGAAGATAGGACGTGGATATAGCTTTGCTTCAGACCCTTGCACGGTTAAGCAATTGTTTCAGACACTTAGAAAAGGCCATTAATGACACTGCAGTAAATAACCTCAACAAGAAGAACAACACTCACAACACTGATGGGCCCAACTGCAATAAATAGTGTAAGGTAAGAGAGCCATCATAAGTCAAAATAACAAGATAAGAACTGAGCACTTTATTCAGTAATAGAGAGATAAAAACAACAAAAGTCAACAAGAGGGTAACCATAACTGGTATAAGAGAAATAATAGAATTGTTTCACAAAACATGCAAACATATTAAAATATACACCTTCAGATAACACACGCACAGAAGCACTTGAGATTTCCTGAATTGATTTGATCGTAGATCCCTGCTTTCCAATTAGATGAATTGCTTGTGAAGATGCCACCAATAACCTTATGGAGCAAAATGCAGCCCCAGCAGCTTCCAAACTCATAGATTCACCCTCACTAGGAGATAGACCATTAACACGTTTGAACACTCTTAGTACAGCATCAATTGCAGGAGATACTTGTGCATCTGGGTCTTCCTTTCCAGATATCAAGACCTATAAAGAAATATGTCACTTAATTACTAGGTGCAACCATGCATGGGTGGTCAAATCGTTCAATAATACAAAATTTATCAGCATTAGTCACTCATGTCAAATGCAAAAGTAGGATATATTTTTCCTTTTAAGTAGATAAAGTTGGATCTAATTGGAAATTGTATTTCTAACTATTTCAACCCTTCTCTTTACAAGAAATGAGAGAATATTATTAATTCAAAAGAAAGTGTAGAAGTACAGGGGAGGACAAGGAGTCCTCTAAAAGAAATTCAAGAAAGAAAAAAGAAAAGCTGCAGCAAAACACAAAAAGCGATGAAGGGGTTTTATAGCATCACTATGCACACACTTTGGCCCAATGGTCTATAATTGAAATAATGAACTCCCTTTGAATTCCTTGGACGTCGATACCCAAAGAGATGCCATGAAAGAGATTTTATCCAAATGTCTTCCCTAGGAACCTCATTTTCGTCAAAAATATGTCCATTTCTTTTCAACTAAACCACCTAAAATAAAGTCAACACCGGGCATCTCCAAAGAAACTTGGCTTTAGGAAAGCAACCAAAGCTTACAAAATTGATACTCAAAATCCAATTACAACTTCTAGGAATCACCCAATGGATTCGGACAATGCCCAAGAGTCTATTCCACAATTTTGGAACAAAGTACAATGAAGAAGCAAATAATCCAAGCTTTCCGCCTCATTCTTACAAAGGGTGCACCATTGCGGTTGAAATTAATATAAAAGCCTTTTTTTTTTTTGGACCATTTCATTAGTATAAAGTTTTCTATGTGGAACCAACCAATACATAAGGTCTGAAGCATAATTCAACCCTTAACCTATAGCATAAAGTCTCACGCAGAGTGTCAACACCGATCGAGGCTCTGGAGAGGAAGAATCTACATCGATCACGATGCAAGCAACAAGGTAATAGTGTCATTGACCAAGCCGAAAGATAGATCTCATCACAACACTTGTTTTCCCTAAACTATCTATCCTTAGAAGTAGAATGAGCAAAACTGAAAAAGGTAATTCTCTGATCCGATAGCCTTACAACAATAAGAGCTGAAACGCCTTTCGAATGGTATAAGTAATGACTTCACTTCCGAAAAGAGAGATTTGAATTTGATCCACTAATGAAAGGAATTGCCTCACTTACCGCTTACTCTTATTCCTATCGATATGCCTTGAAACAAGAACTTTCTTTCAAAAAAATAATCTATGAAATCCTAGAATTGTTCATTTTCTTAGCATGCTCTACATCGTTTTTTCCCAAAAAACTCGGCCTAAATTTTAGTTTAGAGCATAAGAATCTAACAATCATGCAAAGCACATGCCTAAAGAAAAAAGACCAATTGAGAATTTTCAATTTGGGTTTCATGCATTCAATTTGGTTTGAGTGACGGTGATCAAGGGGTGTCAAAGGTTCATCCTTTAGAACTTGGTTACAAACTGCAAAGACTCTGTTCATCAAGACATTGCTCGGCTGATTTTTGCTGGTGATTCACCACCTTCCCCCTTGGGGGGAGAGGGCATTGATAATTGAAGGCAAATATCGGATTAATCGTACAAGAGTCATTCTTTATCTTTCTTAGCTTTCTTTTGGGCCTTTCGTCCCCTATTAGCCAAAATTGAACAAAAAATGTGTATATTTATATGTTTATATGCTTTCAGCATAATTTTATTTTTGGTTTTTATCAGGTTTGAAAATAAGGGTTTAAGATAAGTTAAATTATTGCTAGTCATGGATTCTACTTCTAAACTAAGGATCATATTTGGAGTCCAGTTATATATATCAAAATAGTCGAGGTGAACTTTAGTAGATTTACATATAGTTTAGAAGTCAAAAACTCCCGACTTAGTAAGCCTCCAACTTTGCCTGGCCGCTAGATCTTCTAACCCCCAAGCTGTATTATTCTCTTGGCCTTTTTGATATAGAATGTTCTATGTCTTCTTAAGGTGAGAGACCTCACCTAAATCGATTGCCCTACGAAATTATAAGTGGGACTTAAAGAAATAACAAACTACTTTTAGATTGGATTACTAGATACTTCTTCTTCTATTGACTATCGATCTCCTTCTCTTGGCCCAATACCATCAATCCCTAATTAGCTCCATCCTACTTACTCACCTTTTAACATTCAAATAAACATTTGAACGTTATAGTTCAATGCTGCCCAGAATTTTTTTCAGCCTGTTCACAAATACTTCAAGCAACCACTTTCTAAACAAAGCTGAGTTTATCTCTCACCACTTAAAATCCATGACACTATTACTTTTCTCATAAGCCCATTAGAAAACCATTTGTTCTGCTTCAAACAAAGAACAGGCAAATATCACCCCCTAGAAACTTAAAATACAAAACCTGTGTAACAGGAAGAAAGAATTGCAATACTAATCAGCTCATCTCTTCTGTTGTGTTATGAAATCTACCAGGAATGATAATCAACGATTGGAACAACTCACATCCAAGGGCATCCTCATATTACAAAAAAATAAATTCAATCACTCTTTCTTGTTTCGCTTTAGCTTCCTTGAATTTTAGTATTGCAATTATCTTGTCCATTAATGTTTTCTTCTAGTGCTGGAAGCCTGGAACGATTTCATCCTTTGTTTCTTCATCAGCTTATTAAGTAATTGCATTCAATAAGTTGGGACTCAAAAATTAAAATGGAAACAGATTTAAAGCATTCTAATTATCAAGTTAACCTAGAAGAGCAATTGCCATAACCTTTAAATAGCATCCCCTGCCACAGGTGTTTCAATGTAGCTTGACATATATGTTATCCAACGTTCTATCTTTGACCTGCTATCTTACATTAATGCTTCCAATTTTGAATCCTATTTAGGCTTTGTCGCATTATAAATTTGGGTGATGAAGTCAAACAATTGACCGGGACAAAACTTGAAGAGGGATACATTCGCTAATATCAAAGTCATGTTAGACCTTTTAGAAAATTTAGTCAGGGGGCAGTCTACAACAAATTTTGCAATGTGGGTTTTTTTATTGTGAAAAGTTTATAAGATCAAGTTCCCTGAAGTAAAAGAAATTTTGGGGGGGATGGCTAGGAAATTCTAAGTGGGACTTAGAGAAATAACCTAACTAGTTTTAGACAAGATTACTATATACTTCTTCTTCTATTGACTATTGATCTCCTTCTCTTGGCCCAATACCATCAATCCGTAATTAACTCTAATGGTACCACAAAATATCTAAGGATAAGCTCAGTAACCCAGGTCATGCTATTCAGGTCGGGAGCTCAGCTTATCAATATTGTTTACAGACCTCGATCTCAAGCCTCAACTCCCTGTGTTCATATCTCAAGGAAGGCTGCGCAAAGGACAACTGGATTCCACCAAGTCCCCCTTTTCTAGCATCAATCACCCAGCAGGCACAAGTCTCGTTGCGCAATAAGGGGCAACCGTTACAAGGGAGGGACAAGGATCACGCCCCAAATCAAGCAAGGCCCAGAAATAGCTATAAATATGAGGCAAAGCCCTCGAACGAAAGGAGAGTGAGCTACTATAGCCTTAAAAAATATTCTCTGTAAACTTCACACAGTAATTAATATATTCAGGAGCAAGAGACTCCTTTAAGAGTAGCTCAGCCGAATTCCCGAGCCGATGAACTACTATAAACACTCTGCGTAATCACCCACCAATCCCCAAATCCTATCCCCTAGAGCTTTGGAACTCAGACTGAATTGAATCAAACTGTTCAGTACACCTCGTATGCGTCCCTTTGCTCAGACGTGTTACAAAAGCCATCAGTTGGCACCGTATGTGGAAAAGATTATTTCCCGTTAAAAATATACCGATTTTCTTCAGTAATTGATAATTTCAACACACAACATGAGCAAAAGTCAAATGAATCCTCCTTAACTACAGAACCAACAAGAGGCTAACACTAGGAGGCAGCAAGAAAATCTCCATGATTTCTTGCCTAACCTGAAGTCGATCCCCCCATAATGGATCCCGCACCTAACAACGAATTGAAGGCCCTTTGCCTAACCAATCAACGTCTCCTCCAATAGAATGAGGAGTTGCTGAATCTCCTTTAGCATCATCAAAGAACATAACCAGCCCAAGACGATCCCCTCAGAGGGAATAACAGCACAACAACCCCCTAAAAGACATCATCGAGGGAGATGGGCGTAGCCAAACTGTGGACAATGCCCATCGTCAAGTTCGTAGGAATGAGGACAAGGAAGTGTAAAGTCAAAACAAGGAAGCTCATAATAATGAGTTTCCCCTGTTTCAACTGGAAAGGAAAGAACAATATTGGGAACAGCACTTTAGAGACATCCAACAAAAGCTCAGTCATATAAAGGAGGCTGTTAAGAATAAAACTCTAGTAACTATGGATGTCTTAGTTCAGCAGACCGAGTCTCCATTTACTGCTCAGGTGCTACACTTTCCACTCCCACCTAAATTCAGAATGCCCCAGATGGAGGCCTTCGATGGAACAAAAGATCCAATGGTCCACCTCAACACCTACAAGAATCAAATGGAGCTACATGGATACTAGGACCCAGTGCGGTGTCAAGTCTTCACCATCACTTTAAATGGTTCAACCTTAGCATGGTTCAACAGGTTGACCTCGACATGGTTCTCCTCGAAGTAAGGGGGCAAAGGGGAAAAACAAAAGTACAAAGCAACTTCACCAAGCAACTTCAAAAAATAATTTTATTCCTCAAAAGAAGCAAAATACATCAAAAAAACAATATACAAGGTCCTCTGGACACAAAAAAAAAATCTTAACTCTCTGCAACAGGATTAAAAGTAGCTTCTAGTAGCTCAACAATAGGAAGAGGACCCTCAGGTGGCTTAGGAACAGAAGGAACAACTGAATGGAGAGGAGTCTTAAAGAGAACAGGAATAGGAGCTTCGACGCTAGCTGGTGGCAAAGGCACGACGGGGGGTTAAACTTCAAGATCAGCAAGAGCATCATTAGGAACTAAAACATCAACAAAAACATCAGCAGGATCTGAGACCTCTACCTCCTTCTCAACACTTGACTTCTCTTTCTCCTTAAAGGAAGTTCGAATTCAAAGTTCTGGTCTAGGTACGCCTCCACAGCTTGACCCTAAAAAGCAAGGTACCTAGTGGCCCAGTTGGTAACAGCTTTGTCCTTAAGCTCAGTAATCAGAGCATCCTTCTCCCTGGCTGCCACCTTCTCAACCTCAAACTCTTTCAGCAGAGTAGCATTGACCTTGGCCAACATGTTATACTCTTGTTTCATGGTCTTGTCGGATTCAAAGGCCTCAAAGGCATCCTTGCGAGCCTGAACCAAGCTGTTTGTTTTCACTTTGAGCTCCTCATTTGCCTTCTTAGCCTCTGTCTCTAATCCTTTATTAGTTGAGGTGGGCTCCTCAACCTAAGCCTTCAGGTCGAACACCTAGGCTTGAGATCGTCGTTGGTGAAGGCCAGCTCAGCAACCTTGAGTTCAGCCGCCTTCAAAGATTTTTGAGCTTGCTCAACTGTGTTCTCTAGAGCTCGAATCCTCTTCACCAGAGCACTTACGTGGATGGCGAGCTAGATATACGCAGGGAAAAGCCAAAGTCAGCAAAAATTACCTTAGATCGAAACAGAAACAAAACTTAAAGAAATCAAGACTTACCGAGGCTGCTGCATACAAAACCGTAATAGCAGAGGTAAGTAAAGGGATCGTCGAGGCCTCCACAATGTTAGATTCAAGAATAACTGAGGCAATGGCCCACATCTCCAATGAGTGAACCCTTGCCCTTCTCAACTTCTGCCAATAAACCCTCCACTCGCAAATGAGGACTCTTCTCGACAAACCGAGAAGAGAAAGACCCTCGCAAGAGAGAAGCTATGGACTCCAAAGCTCCAGTGACTTCTGCTGACGAAGGGGAAGGAGAAGAGGAGATCCCCGCACCACCAATAAACCCCTCAACGAGAAGGGAGAGACCCCTTGAGAAGAAGAGGTCAGAATTGCCTTCTGTGAAGGAACTCTTGAGGAGGAAGAGAAGGTGGAGGAGCAGGTGGAGGCACCTCTGTCCTCTACGCCTTTAAAGGAGGTTCAGACCCAGATCCTGCTCCAACCTTGCGCTTAGCTCTACCCTTCATCTTAGCAATCTTAGCTTTCACAACCTCATCTGAAGCCATTAAGTTGGAACCTGAGAAAGTAAACAGGTCGGCCAGCACAAAAAGAATGAAAAGAAAGACCAAAGATCAAAGGGAAAAGTCTTACCAGCGGGGTCTTCTACACCAACAACAGAGATGGGAATCAGAGTCTCAACTCTCACCTCAGGAAGGTTGAACTCTAGCTTAGTAAACACAGAATGCTTGATCAAATCAGAATACTTCGCTGGGCGACAATCTTTAAGCCCTAGCAAAGCAAGTCTGTCCTCAGTTTCAAGCTCAGAGTGAATGCCTGAAATAACCCAAGGGATTAAGGTCAACAAACATAACAACAAAATGAGTTAAGTTGAACCCGCCCTAAACAAGGACTCACACAAGTTGTCAGAACTTGACCAAAAATATGGGGAAGGAAGGTTATTATTAGCATTGCTCAGATCAAACTCCCATTCCTTATCCGACACGAAGAAGAACAGTTTCTTTCAATTCTTGTGAGAAATGGACAGGTCAGTGATCAAAGCTAGGGTTTTCACCTGTTTGGTATGTACAAAAAGCTGTCAGGTTGGATCTTGACATTGAACTATTTCATGAGCTAAGGAACCAATGGGGTACCAATCTTATTTTTCTTAAAAAAGACAAGGAGATCCACCAAGACACCCTAGAAGTTGGGGAGAGATCTGAATAGGTCAGACATTGAAGTGTTGAAGGACAGATTTGATGAAGGGGTGTATGGGGAACCTGAGCCCATTCTCTAGAGAGATTATGAAGAAGCAGGTCTTCCCAAGGACCTCAAAATCGTACCTAATATCCACAGGGGAATCTAGTAGCGCATGCCTCTAGCAAAGCCAAACCTTGCAGACAAGACACCCATAAGAGGTGTAACCTCGCTGTGACCTATAAGGTCTGAAGCGCGAGAAACGGATTCAAAGCCCTTAGCGCTACCTAAAGGTCCAGCTCTACCTTTTTTAGCTTTTCATTTTCATGATCGCTTAGAACTCGAAGAAGACCCTGGTAAAGTCAAAGGCGCCTCTGCCCTCTCTACAGCATCAACCTAGGGAAGTTGTCTATTTCATCACCAACATCCCCAGGTTGTCACTTCTAGGGACCTATCAACCATGGTGAGAGAAACAGACGAAGATGTGGCTTCGATAGAAGTAGACATAACTGAGCAAGAGAAAGGAAGGTTGAAAAAACTGTAAAGAGGGGGAATGCGAGTAAAATAATCCCTAAGGGCCCAGGGGTCGAGACACCAGCGACCGAAGAGAAAGACTCTAACAATAGAGTAGGGATCCAAGAATAGAGGAAGAAAGGACAAGGTAAGACCTCGATTCCTAAAGTAACAAAAACAAAAAGTTCAAAAATTAAATAACCACCTCGAATCCAAGGGATCCAGAACGAAAGTGAAGAAGAGGGAACAAAGCAAGGGACGTACCTAGCTGAGAACGATCGACAAGTCAGAAACCAAGAGAAAGTCTGAACAGATTATGCCAGCCACGCAAAGCCTTCGGAGAAAAGTTAGGAATCGTTCTGAAAACCCTAGATCCTCGGTGAAATTGGGGAGATGAAGTTGCAAAGGAAAAAGGAGATAAAGTAAAGTCTGGAGATAGAATGTGAAGAAGGTTCAAAGAAATGAAAGGCAATTTTTTGTCTACAACCGCACTTAAAGCCAAGAATATGTGGTCCCTCGAAATAAGGGACGTGCACAAGAAACGAGAAAAGCATGATTACACGTTTGTCATAACCATCAGAATGAAATCTCATCATACGCCAATCGTGGTCAACCCAGGCAACCTTACTTGTGGCATAATCCCTACTCAAATCAACCTATTTGACCAGGGACCGAAGGGCAACTAATGGTACTACAAAATATCTAAGGATGAGTTCGATAACTCAGACCATGCTACTCAGGTCAGAAGCTCAACTCATCAATATTGTTTATAGACCTCAATTTCAGACTTCAACTCCCCGTGTCTATATCTCGATGAAGGTTGTGTAAAGGACAACTAGATCCCACTAAGTCTCCCTTTTTTGACATCAATCACCCAACAGGCGCAAGTCTCGTTGTGCAATAAGAAGCAACCGTTACAAGGGAAGAGCAAAGATCTCGCCCTAGATCAAGCAAAGCCCAAGAATAGCTATAAATAAGGCAAAGCCTTCGAAAGAAATGAGAGTGAGCCATTGTAGCCTTACAAAATATTCTCTATAAACTTCACACAGTAATCAATATATTCAGGAGCAAAAGACTCTTTTAATAGAGAATTAGCCGAACTCCCGATCTGGTGAACCACTATAAACACTCTACATAATCATCCACCAATCTCCAAATCCTATTCCCTAAAGCTTTAGAACTCAAACTAAATTGAATCAAACTGTTCAGTACACCTCGTACGCGTCCCTCTGCTCAGTCATGTTAATAATGCCATCAAACTCCATCCCGCTTACTCAACTTTTAACATTCAAATCAACATTTGAGCATCAACGTTCAATGCTGCCCAAAATTTTTTTTAGCCTATTCACAAATACTTCAAGCAACCACTCTATATAGTATAAGTGCCATTCAAAGCCAATGGTTCAAAGAGTTCAATTTCACATTTTCCCATTAGGAGATTGCAAGCTTCTTTTCTCTAGAACAATCTTCCCAGTAACTCAGCATACCACCTATTCTAACTTGAATGATTAGCTTCAAAATACAGCTCTTTCTCATGGCAGCAGATACATCACAAGCCATCGACCATGAAAGACATGAGTTCTTTTTAATAAAAATACATTTGTGTATAAGCAAGCCAAGTTGATTAACAAGAAACACTTTCACACCCTCCAATTTATAACTAATTTCAGTTATTCATATTACATATATATGATAACAAATATTACTAGTAATACAAGTGTGAAGATATAAAGTGCATTTCAAAGCTAAATCACACGTCATACCAAACAAGAAAGGTAATTAGCAATTTAAACTACATACTTCCCAAAATGTAAAAGGTTTCAACACAACTCAAATTGTACATTCGCTAAATAAATAAAAAATAGCAGTTCACACATAGACAATGAGTCGTACCACTACAGAAAAGTATGAACTAATACACAAGTATCAACAATTATATACAAAAGAAAAGTAATTCCCTTTTCGTTGTTGATTCAATTCAAATTAGCACATCCACATTACAACACATACAAACCCTAAAAGAATGCAAAAACTGCATAAAGAGAACGGAAGTGTGTGTGTTTGTGTGTGAGAGAGGGAACTGACAATACGGTCAGCGGTGCCAAGGGGTCCTTCGAGAATGCGAATGCGAGCATGAGTCTCCTCACACATCTTCTTAACCAGCTCTCCTTTGCGGCCAATAATACTACCCACCTTGAGAACCGGCACTATAAGCCGAAACACGTTGTTTCCTGGCCACCCGGGCCACTTCGCCACCGCCGTCATCGCCGTCGCTGTTGGTTCTGTAGTCACCGCAAGCTGTAGTTGTTGAGGTGGCGGCTCTTCATTGTGAGTGACTGGAGGGGCGGAGTCAGATAATGGATTTGATTGAGGTTCGTGAGCGTCAGATCCTGATGACGGTGGTGGTGTTAAAGGGCCCCCATTTTGGAATTCGGCTAATGGAGAAGAAGCCATTGTGCACCTGTATGTGTTGGGTGTGGGAGGGAGGGAGAAGGGAAATGAGAGCGACCGGCGGACCGGGTTAAGAACATTGAATTTTGAGAGAATTAAACCTAGATGCTTAAATGTTGTTATTTAATTATTCAGATCTTTAATATTTGAAATATTATACATAAACTCTTTAAAGTTTATATGAACTCTATCAAATGTTTGTTGGTATATCCGTTAATAAATTGTACTTAAACTCTCTAAAATTTATAGATGTATAATATTTAGATCTTTTAAATTTAAAATATTATATTTATATTAAAAATATTTCAATTAAAAACAGAATATCAAATATTTTAAATTTTATAATCAAAATTCATGTTGTCTTGTATCTTTTATTAAAATAAAATTAAAAATAAAAGCCAATTTTTTCTTTAAAAAATTGTAATTAATATATAATTATATTATCTATTATATCATAAATTAATAGTAAGAGTACAAATTTGCTCTAGCAAGATGATAAATAATTTATGAGAACGCAATATAAATGGCAAAAAGAAGGTTGGAATTCAAAAATGTCAATTCAAATGTAAAACCAATGACAAATTTATGTGTGAAAAATACTTGATTATGACTTGATTAATGAATGGAAAGTACAAATTTACGTATTTCGATGACTCTACCATCAAGTCAATTATGGTCCACTTAACCCCCGGTAGATCACACTATAATAGTGCATAAGAACCCCCATTTGAATTCTTATTTGTATTGTGATTTTCTCAGCAATCAAATTGTGTCCAGTACAAAACAAAAAAAAAAAAAGAACAGAAAATTAAATTGAGAAGACAAAAAAATTGACTTAAAAAAGATGCAATGTTTTAATATATGGCTACACAAAAGAACACATCATTGGTGATCCCACATCTATTAAAGCATACAATATAATAATCTCAATGCACATGCACAACGTATTTATAGACCTAAAATAAAACAACAAAGATCAACCCTCAATTATAAAAAATAGCTTCCCTGAATGACTAACCATATATGTGCAAGCAATGGAATATGCTATGATCCCATATTATTGAGGGAAGGAAGTAAGTTGGGGGAAGCACAACGGTTTTGATTGATCATGAATAAGCGGATGTACAATTTCCAACATCTTCTGTTATACTTTTTCAATTTCCATTGAGATGAAATAAGCCCGCAAGGTTGTCTATTGTGTTTACACGACAACCTTGGCAGCCAAGTTTCCATTCAACTTATCACTGACTTGCATTGTCTTTTGTCGCTTGAACTGCTGAGTGAATTTCCTAAACAAGTAAATAATCATGAATTAATTAAAATCATGATAATTAAGCAATGATTTGGTGATTAATAAAATAGAAAAAGTTAATATTTAATTTTAGTATCATTAGAGCATCTTCAATCATGACTCAAATTTTTATTCAAATTTAAATTAATATTTGAGTAAAAAGCTTGATTTGATACAAAAGGTTGTATAGACAAACTCAAATTTAAATGAAGGCAAACCTAAATGTAAAAAAAATTAAAGATGACCATTGAATCTTTAAAAGATGGTGAAATCTCACCATTAAAGAATTGAGTAAAGATTTGAGTTTCTCTTAATTTGAGTAAAAAATTGAACCTCCCTTAATTTGGTATAAGTTTGAGTTAAGGTTAAAGCAAGTTTTTTGGACTTTAAATTTGAGTCAGGATTTGAGATGTCTGCCAAAAAAAGTAAAAGCTTAATGGCATTTCTAGAAACTTTTTTTGTGGGTAATGAAAATATCTTTAAAACGATAAGCTACACAAATATCAAACTATTTATAGTACGACTTCAGGCATCAACATCCAATTGCACTTTGGAAAAACAATATCGTTAGGGATGTTCACCAATTTGCGAAAATTATTATGTTGTTTTTCATGAAAATATCTCTCATGATAGGAAAAAATCATGGACTACAAAGTATGGAGTAATTCTCAAGAGGAGATCACTGACATATATGCATGTAAAATAGGACCAGATACAATGGCAGTTAAGAGTGCCCACAATATAAGCCTATGAGTTCTCCAATACACACCTCCATTATTGCCTTCAAAATGCTAACATACAACTTCACCACCACCAACCACCCAACTACCAAAATTATTGCTACAATCATCCTCAATTATCACTCTTAACCACATCAAGGGTGGTAGTTGTGATGAGATGGTGGAAAAGGTGATGGTTGGGTGGTGGTAGTGGTAGCAATGATGTGTGTAGGGTAGTGGTGGTGATAAGAATAACATAGTTATGGGGAGATGGTATAAGAGAAGGGCAAAATTAGAATATTAATAATTTTTAAACTTCAGCTTTTTACATTTGTTAAACAGTTTGATTCAATTCAGTACTTAAATTTCAGTAGATACCAAACAGTTTGTGAATTAAAAAATTAAATATTCAATTTTTAGTACTTAATTTTCAATTTATCTAATTAAGTCTCTATACCATTGTTCTAATTACTTTCATACTCAAATTATGCCCACTCTCACTTTATTTTTTCTATTATTAACTATCTCACATTTCCCCATCAATTAACTCTCTTATTTTTATTTTTGTTTTTGGAAAACGGACCACAAGTCCAAGCATTGCAACTTTTGAATTGTAATAGTAGGAATTCAATGTAGTGACAAAAATGTAGAGATCAGAGGCAGATAGTGGGAAGAAAACATAATCAACCAGTTAATGTCCAAGTCAAAATATAATTCTACCAATTAATTTACTATGTCAATTAATAAAAAATTCCCCCAAATTCAAACAAATCAATCAACCAATTTGAAGATTAATCCCAAATTCCAACCTGTCTTCAATTCAATTGAACTTAAGAACATAGTGATTCTCAAGCCATCATTTGTAACACCCTAAAATCCACCTTAGACAGCATTACTTTCTATAACCATTCACATTATAAGAGCAACTAATAAAATCCATAAATAAAAAAAAATTATTCATCATACATAATATCTATAGCATCATTCAAAAGAATATGTCAAACCATGGACATTACATTCAAAAGAATATGTCAAAACTATGTCAATTACACCTAAAAATCAAATATTATCTTACAGCGGAATAAACAAAATATCATCCATACATTGTCTCAAAATGCATCTCCTAGTCTAAGACGTAAAGAGAACAACTCTAGACATCTCCCTCGGGATCCACGCTTCCGCTGATTGAGCTTTCCAAGCTACCTACTCATCAACTCCGAACTCTTCCTCTAGAACGAAATCTGAAAATAAATATTGTTTGTAAGGGGTGAGCATTGAGCTCTGTAGGAAAATCCTCCCAAACTTGAACAAGATTTAGAAAACATATAAGATCCATCGATCTCATTTTACAAATATCATATATGAATTTTGAAAGAAAACAGTGACAGTTCATCCAATCTTAAGTTTAGGCAATATCAATATATAGAATGAAAAAGTAAAACCAATTTCCAAACCACAAACCATTCCAATATCAATCATTTCCAACAATTTCTTATATCATTCCCCACAATGTACCATTATTCACATTATGTATCTGTATCCCCAATTGTATCTTAGGTAGGAAGTAAGATTTCGCATGAATACACACATTAAGAATATCTTGGCCCACACACACCCCAAACTCTCGCAAGGATACACAACTTTAGAAAGGGCGTATACTAATGCATCGGCAATGATGAATCCAACACATAAATAGTATACTAACCATCAGACTCGATATCACGTAAGCGAACAGTAGTTTGGTCCTCGCAAGGCACCAACACCACTACGAGTGGTAGGGAACCTTCAAACCCACACGAGTAAAAAATGCATCTACTCACTCTATGATACCCAATCAACAGCCACCCATGTTCATCCAAACATCCACACAAGAGATACATTACCAACCAATTTCTTAAATCACAAGTAAATCAAAAAGCCCCCAATTTCATAGATATTTTTCCAACATAACAACTCAAGAAAATAAACAAGAGATCATCAAAAAATATAATTTTTAGTGTTTAAACAAAGCACTAGAGTTTTGAAATCAAGAACAAAAGAATATCAAAAAGACAAATCCATAATTATCAAAAACTAGGTTTTGACATTAAGAACATGAATTTTTATGGCTATCAAACCATAGCTTCACTCAAAACATGGTAAGATTTGCAAGAACATCAAGAAACAAGGATTCCATAACAAATATTTATGATTGAGAGTCAAAATATACATATATATAAACCCTAACCTCAATGGACAAGAGTGAGAAAAAACTCCTACCTTTCTTCTTTAGTGTTGTGTGACAAACTAGAAGATTTAATCCACTTCAATGTAAAAATCCACCTTGATCCTATGTTTCTCCCTCTCTTTCTTCCTTTCTAAGACTATCTAGTGTTGGAAATGGTGAAATGAGGCTATGGGAGGCAGCCTTATGTATTTATAGGGTGAGAAAAGAATACAACCGACGTAAATCTGATACTTTGATTCGTAGCTAGCGTTCGAACGTCATTTTGGCGTTCGAACATTAGTTGCTCCCAGTACTTATGTTTTTCTATCAGAAAAAAGTACTGGAACGAATTGTCGTTCGAATGGACTTTCACGTTCGAACAGACTCCCATTTTTAGCCGCAATCCCAATGAAGTTTTGGTATATTTAAAAGTCGATTTGGAATATATTTGTGAAATACTCTTTTATAGACCTGGAAGTCTAGTATCTATTGTAAAAATTTCAGCTCAAACGTACATCAGGATAAAAATTTATGATCAAAATACTAAGACAGTGTCAAAATCCTTCCTACTCAAATTCTATCTAAAATATGTTTTAACTCTATAATACTTCATAACTTCTAATACACCCCATATTACCTCTCTCAAGGTTTCTCAACCTTCTGGATTCAATGGAGATCTTATATTGTCCTAAAAATATTTAGAAACTTACCTAATCACTATGCTCAAGTTTAAACATATTCACAACTAAGTTTGACCCAAAAATTAATTCGTTTGCAATTCAAACTT